TTGTGTACTGTAAGGAAAATATACACTGTCTTGCAGAAGTATTTGGCCCCTTTCAATGATGTCACATTTCGTTGAATTACATGCAGCATGCATTGAAATCAAAATGTGAATGCTCAAAACTGAACACATTCATGGGTGGAAAAGTGAAAATGTCAGCTGAAATGGCAAACAAAAATAAAAAAAAAACTAAAGAAATACATTCAACACCTGATCGTTAGCACGTTGGTAGCAGTTCAAGCTCTGATTCTTTTTGTGTAGGTCTCTACCCACTTTGTACAATGGGAGGGTGCACTTTTCACCCATACCTCTTTGCAATCAAATTCATGAAAAGTGAATATTCATCCCAGATTTACAGCAGGGCTTTAGCATATTGAAACATATTTAAGATTCACTTCTACTGTGATGGCATGGATTAGTATTTCTGCCTTACAGCACTTTGGCCCTGGGTTCAGTTCCCATTCTGGGGGGTCCACACGCTACCTGTGTGGAGTTTATTTGTTTTCTGTTTATGTGGGTTTCCTCCTACAGTCCAAAAATATATTGGTAGGTTAACTGGCTTCTGGGAAAATTGGCCCTAGGTGTGCGTGTGTGTACTGTATGTCCATTTTGCATATCTGTGTGTGTGCCCAGTGAAAGATTGGGGTACCACCCAGGATGTATCCTGCCTTGCACCTGTTGCTTTCTGAGACAGGCTCTGGCTCCCCTCTGACCCTGAAGTGGAAGAAGTGATTAGAAAATTGATGGATTTGCTTGTACTTTGCTAAATCTATCCGTAGGGATGGTATTGACTGGGTGATGCGCTGTGTTGGGTTTGCTCCAGATAGAACACTTCACATTAAGCTCAAAGAATTCCAATTTAGTCTGACCTTTCAAAGTCATTGTTGGCCTCATTGTGGCATCCCTAACCAGATTCCTCCTTGCCTGGTTGCTCAGTTTGGAGGAACAGACTAATATAAGCATTGTCTAGATGGTAAGATGTACATTTCACATTCTTTCTTTGTAGTTTTCACTAACATTTAACATCTTTCATCCAGAAGTGTGTTTGGTTTGACATTTAAGTTTTGATTAATAATGTCCACTTAAAAAGGTTTGCATAATTTGTCATTTAAATGGCACGCCATTTAAAGAGAGTGAATAGTTTTGCGAAACGGTGTATGGTCAAGTGGACAGAGTTTATAGGAAGAAGGAAACATGTTTCACATTTATCTGGAAGCTACAATGGTATGTCCAAAGTGTTTTAATTTCTCTATGTGGGAACTGAATATCTTTACATTGTATATCAAGAAGCCACAGCAAAGATAGTGTCTTTCAAAACTATGTAGACAAATGCAGTTTTGCTGTTTTCACTTTTGTTTGCTTTAAAGATTGCTCTTACAACACTTTGAAATATCCATTAATATTTGTTATATGCACAACCTACTCCACACATTCAAAGCAAAAAAGAATATGAAATTCAAACAGAATAGTTATGATTTATTTATGTAGTGTTCAACCCCTTTTTCTGTGGAAAATGTAAATCAATTTAGGTGCATAAAATGACTTTAAAAAGCCACACATTTAGTGTACATTCAGTCATTGTACAATATTAGAGATTCACATGTTTTCTGAATAAATACACCTGTCTCTGTATGATCCCTACGTCTGTCAAACAAAGATTCAACCACAAAGACCAGGAGCTTAAAGAACAACTTTGGGATAAAGTTGTATAAAGACAAGGATCAGGGGGAGGATATAAAACATTTCAAAGGCCCTCAATATCTATAATAATACCCTCTTTGAACATGGTGAAGTCTATTATTTACGTAGAAGCAAAAGACACCTGACACAGTTTAGATCACACTGTTCATCCAAACTGTTTGAGCTGTATGGAACTGATAAAAAAGACATCTTAAATCTCTTATAGACAAAGAAGCTTTTAAGTGATACTGAGAACATGTCAGAAACACTTTTGTGGCCAGACAAAACAAAATTTGAACTTTTTGGTCTAAATGCAAAATCTTATCTTTGAGGCCAACCCATTTGGTGCCTCATTCAGTCAACAGCATTTCTACTGTCAAGCATGGTGATGGCAGCGTTTTATTATTGCTTTGCTTCTCAATGACAAAACTGATGGTACTATAGATGGACCAAAGTACTGACACGAAAACCTGCTTCAGACATAAAACTGTCTCAAAAATGCACCTTGCGGCGGGCAGTGATCCAAAGCACACAGGCAAAGCTACACTGGAGTGGCTTAAGAAGAAGAAAGTGGTTCTGATAAAATTTGGACTTCGGCCCCATTGGAAATCCTGTAAAATGACTTGAAAATGGGTGTCCATAAGCAAACCAAAAGCAACTTCTGAAAGCTTGAGCAAATCTAACAAGACAAATTGGAAATAATTGCACCTTGCAGGTGAGCAAAGGTGATGGAGACTTATCCAAATAGACTTCCTGTAGATAATGAGTTCACGGGTCTGAATGCTTATGCAATCAACATATTTCATTTTTTCCCTTTTTAAGTTTTGCGGACCTTTGCTTGAACTCACCTTAACCTTAAATGTTTCAGTTGAAGAAATAAGGTTTTGAATAAACCTTTAAAGTTAAAGACATGTGTATGCGTCATTGTGTAATTTCCCAAAATGGACATCATGGGAAGAGCCTGAATACTTCTGCAAGGCACTGGCATATGGGGACCCATTTTATCCACATCCGAAGGGAAGTGCCCATCGGGGAACATGTAGCAGCCAGGATATACCAGCTATCCAACTACACAACAGATCAGGCAGAGAAGTAAGAAATTGTTTCACCATTTGAATTTAGGGAAAACTTTCACGAGGCCAGATTATATATACCCACATTGGAATGTAGTGAGGATGAGTGGATTAACAACCCTGTTCTTTTGAACAGTGTCATGGGATTTTTATTGGACCTCGGTTTAATGTCTCCTCTAAAATACAGGAGCTCTTTTGGTATTGTTTCTTTGCTCACAATTCTGGGGGATTGGTTAGGAAATTGTGGTCTAGAGGGAATGTCCTGGTCCACCTACTGTACTGTACATCACCTGCAGAAGCTACCTGGTTTTCCTTTGGGGTCTTATCACAGAACTGACCAGGCCCATCCTTGACAGAAAATCTTGACATCTCATCAGATGAGGGCTACAAGGCCCTTGTCTGAAGTAGTATTCTGAGTTCACCTTCTGCACCCCTTAGGATTTTATACATTCCTGTATTAAACCTTCGCTTAAACTTCTTCCTTCCGGACTGAAGAGATTTTCTTCCTTTAAAACCAAGTACTGTTTGCTTCCCTGCATTACCATGATGCCGATGCAGAAATATCTATATAAACACCCAGATCCGTTTTGTGACTATACATTTTTATTAACTAAAATTACACACTACAGTTCCCACACAGCTAAACATCTTTAAAAAAAATCTGGGTTTAAATTTTGAAGAGGGATTCTTTTCAACTGTTAAGTCCAGTGCCTAGTTTCAGCCTGAAAAATGTAAAGTCAGGGCATAGATTATACACCTCACTTAATTTGAGGTGAGGTGTTAGTGGGGCCAGCAGGGGGTGCTCACCCTGTGGTCCATGTGGGTCCTAATGCCCCAGTATAGTGACGGGGACACTATACTGTAAACAGGTGCCGTCCTTCGGATGAGACGTAAAACCGAGGTCCTGACTCCCAGGGCGTTTCTCGAAAAGAGTAGGGGTGTAACCCCGGCGTCCTGGCCAAATTTCCCATTGGCCCTCACCAATCATGGCCTCCTAATAATCCCATCTATGAATTGGCTCCATTACTCTGCTCTCCTCCCCACTGATAGCTGATGTGTGGTGAGTGTTCTGGCGCACTATGGCTGCCGTCGCATCATCCAGGTGGATGCTGCACATTGGTGGTGGTGGAGGGGAGTCCCCATTACCTGTAAAGCGCTTTGAGTGGAATGTCCAGAAAAGCGCTATATAAGTGTAAGCAATTATTATTATTATTATTATTATTATTATTATTATCATTATTATTATTATTATTATTATTTCCCATTTCCTCATATTATTCTTGGGAATGTCTACATGATTTACAGAAGTGCTTTTTTTAACAATTATCTCATTCTTTGCAACATTAAAAACAGATGTAAACTTTAAGTATGTTCCTGCAGGTTGAAAATGTGACCATTAAAGTTTAAAAAATCAATAGCAATAAAGAAATAAACCTTTCATGATGATGAAATGTGAAAAGGCTAGGCCTGCCTGTTGAGATGGATTTTCTACATCCTAATGATAATTTTGTTAGATTTATGGCTTTCTCACGCAGTTTTGTTTGAGATCTCTATGCAGTTATTTATGTAAAGCACTAAAACAGAACAAACAAAACAGCATTTTCTAACTGCCTTGTTCACTCAAGAACTTACTGTAGCTGTCTAATCTATTGACATCTCTGATTTTCATACAATATCTCTCCCTCTCCAATTTCACACAATCAGCCTATAATAATAATAATTAATAAAAATAATGAAAAAGCTATCAAAAGGTCGGCAGTCATTGACCCTTGATTTGACACAATTCATGTTCCCAAATGTATTCACAAAATAAAATATCAATTTTACTGATGATAAAGGAATTTAAAAACAATTTACCAGTGAAACGATAATTAAAAATCATAATGGATGAGTGTGGCCATGTAATTTCTTGTGGTTTCTGTCGTTGCGGGCTGTATTGTGTCCGGTGAGGCGACATGAGGGTCACTAATGCAGCCATTAACACATTTTAGGCTGCCTACACCTGTTAAACGCTTTTGGTTTGATCCTTTTATAGGTAATGCTGGATCTTGCCAAATTGTTAATTAACCTCATATTTTAATTATTTTTACGCCAAATGCATGCCTTTCGAAACTGCACGATACAGCAGCGTAGTGAAATGTACTGTACTTTAAATCGAAGGATAGTAAGATTCGTCGTGAACATCCTCAGTTCCTGTAGCTGAATCTAATCGACGATAGGACCCAGAGGAAAACCAGTGTGTGTGTGAGAATGAGTGCGAGGCGCTGGTGTTGAAGGTGGAAGTATCTTGGTTCACGTACTGGTATTTAAAAAGGAAGAACCTTCTGTGTAAAATTACAATTAACCTAGTTCGATTTAAATTGAAATACCTCCGGCTATGTAATCCAAGGATTCATCCACGTATTGCTTAAGGTAAGAATGGAGCAACCCATCGTTAATCGTTTGCAGTTTTGCATTTTATTTCGGTTTTTGTGTCAGGTTGGGTTAACCCAGCGGAGCATGGGACTAGAGTGTGTGGCTTAGCCAAGGGAGGTGCCTGAAGTCTGGGGCACATGTAATAGAAATCCGTGCGATTTCGGTTTCTCGTGACATTTTCGCAGTGATACAGTGTAACTTGTCCAAAGGCAGAGCGATTGGAAGAGAAATTGTTAGTTCTAGCCCGTATGTCTCTTGTATTGTGCTGCATTGTATTTTTTCCTCATGGAAAGCTGTTAGTTTTGAAATTAATGTTCGTAATGTCTGTAGTAGGGTGAAAGTAGAGACATAGTTTTAAAAATAATACAAACATCTAGATTGTGTTGTCTAGTAAATTCACTAGAAACTGCTAGGTAAATCAGTACGCATTATAGAAATTCCGGATTCGCCTGGTGGGTTAATATATAATTCTATTTTCTTAATGAAATCGACACAGCAATATGCAATCCTTGGACAATGCTTTTAAGTTCTTAAGCTTAATTTAAAAGTTTATTGTATGTCTGTTACCGAGACCATCAAAATTACAAGTAAACACAACAGACCAACGCCAGAGCTACTAAACTGAACCGCATTAAAATCAATAAATGCCATTTAGCTTTTATCGTAGAATTAATCTCATTTTTAGATTTATTCCTGATTTCGCTCCAAACATGTAATATTTTCTTTCTGAAATAACAGAAAAAGATCAAATTTTATAAACCACACTTCACTAGATACATATTTTAAATCAATAAGGAAAACGCTTAAGTTATTAAGCCAAATGCCCATACATTTCAGGATAACCTGAAAGGTGTGAGTTGATGGTTTTAACTTGCGGGATATGAACTTCACTGTACAGTGATCATGCAGTATATTTCACGGCACTAAAGAATGTTTTGAGTGTACTTGAAATCTAGGCTTTGGTAACCATTTGTTATTTTTAAAGAGCCACGTGTACTGTATAGAGTGGTTATAAAGCCCTACTATTTTTGTACAATCTTAACATTGGAGGTGGCTTTCTTTTCTTCTGTATTATTAACTTTCCTTTGTGCTCTGCCCTCAGGATCTTTTTTTCCCTCTGTACTGTTTTACCTTATAATAATAATGCTCTAAGTATCCATATAGAAAAGTTCTTTATATTATAGATTTAAACTCTTTAAATTGACCTTTTTTTTAAAGATAAAAGGTAGAAAATAAGAGGAGTGATTTTTTTTTGTGTGTGTACTGATCTGAATTCTTTTAGTACTGTTCAGACATCTGAACAGTATAGGCCTGTTTGCATGTTAAAGCATGTGAATCTTGTGATTCAAGGAATGTGTGCGTAAAAAGCATGTAAAAGACATGGTTCGGCTCTTTGTTTTGCCTGGGTGTAATAAGGGTTTTGTAGAAATCTTGGTTTTGACACTGTTGCTCTTTCCTTCCCAGAAGGGAGTGCACTGTAACAGAGCTGTGATAAGAATATCTTTTCTGTTAAGGCCTTACTTAAGTCTTGTGAGGGATATCACTCCCTTTCTTGTACTGTTCAATACCTGTTGTACTTGCTGCTTTTTCCTTGTAAGCTTATAGAGATTTTAGGTGATTTAATCAGATTGCCTTGGTCCTCTTTCGCAAGTGATTCAAGTATGGATTTAGATGTGCATTTAAGTTTAGGTTTTGCATTTTTTTTATCTTCCTGGGTGATGCCTTTTATTTCCTAAAAAGATATCCAAAACAGCCATAGTGACCTTGTGTGAACCATCAAAGTTTTTTTAAAATGAGATCACTGAATTATAGTTAGGGCTTCTTCTTTTTGTTTTTAATAAGGTCTTTTATTCTTGAACTTTTCAGTGCAGTCAGAAGTATGTCCTACCATAAATTTGCTTCGATTTATTGCAGGTTGTGGCACTCAGAGCTTGCTGTGAAATTTGGGCTGGGAGTCCAGTAATGAAGGACAGCCTAAAATGGCTGTGTGGGATTGGAAATGGGACATTACATGGTGTCTGCCACAGATAGCCAAGGGTGTTCATCCATCAGTCACTTTGTGCTCATAATGTTGTGTATACTATGTCAATGTCGTCACCTTTTTCCTGTTACAGTTCTTCATTTCTCACTCAGTCCATATCCTGTTGTGTATGCTTTTTGTGGCTCTTTGTTGTCATTTCTGCATAGTTTATCACTTACCTTGCTGCAGTTCAGGGATTGTCTTTTCACCTGACTTTAAAGATTTCTCAAAGCTGAGTACGAATTCAAACTGTGTGTGAGGTGCAGGATTCAAGGAGCTGTGTTTTTCTGTGCAGTGCCTGTGTCTGTCCCAGTTTTCTGTGCCGTGGAAGCTCTGCGCAGAAGCTGTCTTTCTGGGTGTTAAAAATGAGAAGTTGCATTCAACGGACGAGTAACAAACAGCCACAATAATGGCACTTAACACAAATGCAGAAATTACGAACTAGTGAGAAATGAAATAGCAGGACAGTTCAAGTGGCAGAAACTAAATTAAGCTTGGTCATATTTACCCAGCCGGTTTGGATTAGTCAGTTACACTTCTACGTCTCATCTTAAAGCTCCCTATAACCTCATATACATATATTTATATACCCTCATATTCCTCAGATAATGAGGAAGGGCAGGTTCCTCTGAACTGCCCACCCCTTTGTCATTCTGCATTTGAGGTACTTCACAAGGTTCTGGCACACCAGGAGGAGTGACGTGTTCTTTGCTGATGCCCTTGCAATCCTGCAGGTGCCCAGGAAATCTCAGTGGGTGTTACTTAACCAGGAGCTTAGAGCCTTTGAGGACTAATCCCAAACCTATTAATGGTGGTATCCCAGTATAACAGGACATGACTATAGGCCTCCCATAAATCATCAGTTTATTAGGACCTGGAACAAATGAATGTTTTTAAGCAATGTGGCAAGTCATTTATCAAAACTGGAGTGGACGATTCCTATGCTTAAATCGGGGGTGGCTTAATTCCTGGTGCTGGAAGGTTTTGTTTTATTTGCTGGTTTTCAGTCCAGCTCCGCTCTTCTTGAGTTAAACCAACTGGTGATTGGCATAGCTCGACCAATTTAACACCTTCGAGCTCTTCTGATGCTCCTGCTTTGAAGAAAGCTTGAAAACCTGTGGATCAGGAGTCTCATTACTGAAGGGCCTAGTGTCTTCTGGCTTGTTTCTCCCACATTCTCAGTTATGCATATGTAACTTAATTCGCTGCATAATTCTAAAACATGTGAGCAGGCTCTGAGATTAGTTATAGGGAGCTGTTGTTTTAAATGACGTGGGTGTCGTGGGTAATCTAACATAAAAGACTTGTATGTGTCTAATTTAGAAAACAGTTATGTCAGTTGTTTAACTGACTACTCGGGTCAAAACTAAAACTAGGAAATGTGGCACACATGCAGAATGTGTGTTTAAACCCTTGCTGTAGACGCACTGGTCTTCCAGGCACCAGAAGTGCCCTTTCTCTGGCTGGTATCAAATAAGCTGCTATAGTGGACAAGTGTTCTGTGTCTTCAGTATCAGATCAGTAACTTCTGTCACCCAGTTCTGGTTTAAAGTGCATCAGATTGTTCTGTAGTGAGTGTAGGGATGGTACAGGTGGTGTAGCAACCACAGCTACTGCTGGCTGGGCTATAGCAGTGTTAATTACCTCTCTGCAAGAGCAGGAATGAGGGCCACAAAAGCTGAGAATGCTGGCTGGCACACTGCTTTCAGTTACTTCTTAATAATGGGATTTTTTTTTTTTGGAGTCTCATGATGTCTGTGATGTAATCCAGCTTTGTTCATTTCAGGGAATGTGAAATCAGTATTCTGATTGCAGGACAATACTTTTGTACAACAAATTATCATTACAAAATACCTCTCGGGGACTATCAATGTACCACTTTGAAAACAAATCCCTCGTCAGGAATTCCTGTGCGCTGTATGCAATCCTGCAGCTCTTTAAATTATATTTGTTCTTTGTGAGGCACATTATTGCTCTCTATGTGTTTCATTCACCTATAGAAATGTTCTTTTAAAATTTGACCAAGTCTTATTTATTATATAGTATAACACTGGGCAAACACTGAAATTCAGAATCTAACTTTTGGCACCAAAATGTGAAATACAGAGGGGTTAGAAGTCTGAATGTTTAAAGTGACTTGGTAGCGTGAATCGTTGTATTTTTGTGCCTGATTAAGAGCCACAGTATTTACTTTATGTATTGTTTCAAAGTTACAGTTAAAAACTTTATTTTTCTATCCTTCTAGAACTTAGTCCTAAAATGTGTATCAACTAATGATCTGAGTTCTGTGCTAGCTCTTTACACTGCAGGTTTCAAGTACAGTGAACACCATCGTCTGTAGGAATCCATTGTGTACCTGTTACCCCACACTCTTCAGGTGGAGTCTATGGGCAGTATCCAGCACTGTCATTTGGCATATTTGTCAATAAGAACAAATAATAGGTTTATTCCATGCTGAAAAGAGAAGAAAGGAAACACAATGTTTCAGCTGTGGAGCCATCACACCCGAAGAAGGCTCCACAGCCGAAACGTTGAGTTTCCTTTCTTCTCTTTTCAGCATAGAATAAACCTTTACTTGTTCCTTTGCAGCCTATGCATGCTGACTCAGCTTCTGACAACTATATTGATCAATATTTCATTGTAAAGAAAATAGTGGCTTTGCGCACTTCCAGAGCTTCAGGTGTAGTCTCTGCTTGCAAGCAGCCTTCAGGTTATGTGGCTTTTGGCTGTGTATTATGTTGCCAGTCTGGGGTGGGGGTGTCGAGTCGGCTGCATTGTAAAGGCTGCTGGCCTTTAGGTTCAGGTTTCCCATTAAGTCTGATGACTCTCCGGGGAAAGATGACGGCCAAAAACTCTTAACGGATGACTGGCTATGGAGTCACAGTATGAAATTGCACTATAAAAGTGCCTGTGTTAATTTTTTCTGCACGTCCTTGCCAAAATGAGCAATCCTATCGCTTTTGTTGTGCTTTTTTAG